TGCTGCACCCAAGCCTTCTACAGCTTCTCAAGAGATGTCCCTGTTTCCTGGGGCTCATTAAAACGCCAGACCATTAGCCCTCAACAGACCTCAAAGGTGCAGGTTCCTGGGTGAGCGGAACCTGGGGACCTCATGTGTAACAAGTCTTCCATGTGATTCTGATACTGGCTGAAGCTAGAGCGCCAGTTCTGAACAGGTCCACTAGAATGCTGCACACATAGTAGGTGTTCAGTAAATACTAGCGAACAGCCTGGCTGTTCTTGTGCATATCTGTCAGCTTGCTGGGGTGTGAGATGGTGAGGCTCACTTCGGGCTTGGGATATACTGGGAAGTAAGGAAAGGCCCCAGGGGACCCCAGACAGAGGGTTCAAAAGCTGCATGCCTAGCGATTAAAGGACTATTGTTTTGCCCCTGTTGGGAGCCTGCTTGTTACCCATTAACCAGGAACAAACTTTTTTTTTTTTTCTGGCTGCCGGGCTGGGGATCTGTGAGGTGCAGATCTGGGTGTCTGGGTTGGGTGGATAGGACCTGAGCGTGATTGGGATGCACTGGATTTCTGAGCCTCAGCCTCACATCTGTGTTCTCATTCACTCACGTTCATCCCTCTACCTGCCTCCTGCGTGTGCTTGTTCTGAATGCAATCCTTACTTCCACCTTATAGAGCCTCTCCTTTTGTGTACCTCCTGGTCACCAGCAAAATAGAGGGGACCATGACCAAGTCCCTTGCCCTCAAGGACCACATGGTCCAGCAGAGCTTAGCTTGGCTAGGAAGGCCGCCATACTTGTTCGAATCCCTGTAGCCCTTGCTAGCTATATTGGGCGTACTCTAAAGTTTGACCCCCCTGGTGCATGACAATGTAAGTTGTCTGGCCAGTGTAGACCTGACAACGGCTAGTATCGCAATTACTAAGAGGGGAGAGAGATGTCTCAGCAACTAATAATAACGAGGTGAGCGTTGTGATTACAGTCTGTAGAAGCAGTGTGTTATCCCACCCAGGTTGGTAGGGTGTGGTCAAGGGAATGTTCACAGAGCAGAGGGAGTAGGGCTGTGCCTAAGAGGACAAATACATTCACACCAAACAGCAGGGAGGGTAAGGCAACACTGGGGGAGTAGCCCAAGTGACAAAGGCTTGGCGGTGGGAGTGCAGAGTTACCCCAGTTGCCCAGGGGTCAGAGCATGGAGTGACAGTTGTGGTCTAGATCTACTTGACAGGCAGGCTGAAACCCAAGGCCACTGGGGGCTCATGGAGGATGCCAAGCTCAATTCTGAAGGCTATGGGGAGGCATGGACTAGGGCTCCCAGCCTTGGCGTGCTCGTTCAGGCTGGATAGTTCACTGTCATGTGCATTGTGGATGTTCAACTGAATTCTCTGCCCTTGGCCCCCTAGAGGCCAGTGGCACCTCTCCCTGCCTTCTACAATTGTGACAACCCAGGCTGTCTCCAGACATTGCCAAATGCCTCTGGGGTGGGAGTGGGAGAGGAAAATCACCCCTTGGCGGAGAACTATTGGAATAGGGGAGTGTCGTGAGTGTATTATGCTTCTGAGGGGCTGGCCCTGAACAGTGTGGAGGACAGGCTAGAAAGTCAGAGCTTGAAGGCCAGAGGCCCAGTGGGGAGGCCACTGGAGCATCACAAATGAGAGCTGCGCAAGGCCAAGGCCAGGGCTGGGCTGTGGGGCAGGAGGAGAGGGACTGGGTGTCAAAGGGACTGCTCAGGCTGTCACTGAGTTTTACGACTCTCCAGTGGCAGAGGTCCAGTGTGGTGGATGTCAAGGTCAACCCCCCATCCTGAAGAAAAAACACTGGGCCACCTGTGCAGGCCACACTAAAAGCTGCTTTAGCCAGAATTTACTACTGCCCACCTTCAGCCTGAACAAGACGTAGAGATTGCAAAGTTCTAGAGAGCGATTTCTGTGAAGGAGTCGTCGTTGTGTGAGCACCCCCTGTTGGCCTTTTTTTTTTTTTTGAGAGGTTTTTGCTATAGTGCGCGTGCGCTCGCCAGACAGACAGAGAGAGACAGAGAGGCAGAAAGTGAGAAATCACTCCCCAGGGGGGATGGCCACGCTGCAATCCCTTCTCCTCCATTCTCCTCTCGGGATCTTGAGCACGCACGCACACGTGCCCGGCGTGAGTTTAAGCCAACGGGTCCAGGGCTCGAACTACAGTCGACTACGTGGGAGTCCAGCGACATAGCTATTACGCTAACTGCTGGTCCCCCTGTTGCCCTTTTAGGGAGAGAAGGGGGCCCTACTCCTTGTTTTGGGCCAAGCGGGAGGAGGCTACAAGCGTGGGAGCGTCATAGCCCAGGAGATTAGGGACCATGCCACCAATGGGAGCTTCTTGTCTGTTTTGGCTACACGGAGACTCCAGGACCCCAGGGCTGGCACACAGTAGGTGCTTAAAAAAGGAGACTGTGACTCCTTTAGTAAGGTGGGTCTGAAATGGCAGTGTGGGGTGACATGGATCGCATGGGGCATGAGCTGGCTGCTGCAGGTAGAGGGCAGGGCAGCTGTGAGCCCTCTCTACCCTAAGTGCTCCCTGTTGGGGGAGGTGGCCTCAGCAGAAGAAGCCTAGAAGACCCTGATCCACGTAGGAGCCAAAGCGTAGGTGGTACATTATGGCCAGCAGGAGTTCCGGCCTTCCCGGTGCCAGGGAGCTGTTTTGGTGCCAGGGAGCTGTGGTCAGAGGACTCAGCAAGCAGATCTCCAAGAAACATGCACAAGTGCCTTCGGAGAGAATGAGCCAGAAACATCCTCCCAAAGGCCCCACTGCCAGCTGGCCACGACTCTGGCTGTCATGGAACACCGTACCCCTTTCTTCCAAAGTCCTCACCCCTGGGCTGACCTTAAAGAGGTTAAGCACTGCACTTGGCAGAGTCAGAAATCACCATGTCCTCAAGCCTGGGTAGTCCAGCTGGAGAAGGAGGAGCTCCCCATGGCATAAGAGAACGGAACTCTAGTGAACTTTTCTCAGGAGGATGACTACATTCCCTGGGTTGGTGAGGCTGCCAGAGGGACCTGGCGGGAGGGATGAGTCACTTGGGCCCAATGGATCTAAGTTGAGTGGGGGACACGCAATGAGAACTATTGTCACCTGCTTCTACCACGTGACATCACACTCCAGGCTTTCTCTGTGGATCAGGGAGTCCTAAAAACTGCCCCCAGATGAGACTTGTGAGGGCCAGAGGAAATCATGCTTGTCTTGGCATTGACCCCCTCTGCAGAGTGAAGGCTGTGGTTAGTGCCAACTGCACCCTCTGTCCCTTGTCTCAGAAACGTGTGAGACCAGGTGATTTCCCAGTCTCCTGGTCAGGAGGTGGGATTTTCCATCCCCCAAAGGTTACTTCCCAGTTTCTCACTTACAAGAACCATTCTTGTGGTCTCCATCATGGGGTTTGGTGACCCAGAGCTGGGGTCTCCATTCCTCTTTAGGTGGTCTGCAGTGAGGAAACAAAGGAACAAGGGAACAGAAGACCTTCCCTCCTGCCCATGCGCACCGTCCACCCTTCAAAAATGCTGCATGTTAGGAAGGGCGCCTTGTAGTCATGGCTGGAGATACATGCTGGTCACATAGGGCTGGCTTGGCATTGGGGTTGATACTGAAAGTGAGTGGGGAAGGGGGCAGGTGGCAGCTAAAGTGGGTGCTCAGACATGATGTAAACACCAGGGAAGCCAGCTCTCCTGGCCTGGGGCCTGAGCCACCCCCTTGGGGCCCCCATAGCTTCCTGGATGATTTTCCCTCCCAGCCTCTCTTTACCTTTCAGTTTCCTGGACAGAGGACTCAAGAGGGAGGGCAGGGGCCAGACAGTAGTGCAGTGGTAAAATGCAATGCTCTGGAAAGCTGACCCTCATGGGAAGGTTCAAGTTCATGTCAGGAGACCTCTCTGAGCACACCAGGCATGTGTGTGCCCATGATCTGGGGCTGGCTGAGGTTAGAGGCGGATGCCAGGATCAAGACCTTGGAAGGGGTGCTTTCTCTCTCTGTTGTTGTCCTTCTCGACCATGGAAGAAATAAAATAAACTTAAACAAAGTAAATGGGGGGCAGCACAGGGTCTAGCTAACCCAAGAACTAGAATGTTTAAGGACAAATGAACAAATGAATAGCAGTAATAACAGCTACATTTATACAATGCTTACTGAGTTACATACATACTTACTTTGTAAATATGTACAAAGAATTTCAAAAAGTTCATTGAAAAATGTAGTTAAGGGGCCAGCAGGTAGCATAGTGGTTGAGGTGCTGGACTCCCATGTGGTCAACCAAGGTTCAGGTCCTAGACCTGGTGGCATGAAGTGCATGCCCAAAATCCGAGGAGGAAAACGGATTGCAGTGTGGCCTGCTGGGTGAGCTTTAGCTTTCTGTCGCTCTCTTTCCAGTGAGCACGCATGCCATATAGCAAAATTCTTTCTTTAAAAAAAAAAAAAAAAAAAAGAGTGAAGGTCGAAGTTTATTCTGGTGTCAAAAATGTTTAAATCCATGTGATTTTTTTCATAATACATTTTGATGACAACTCACACAATATGCACTCTGTTGTGTGCATTACAAACCTATTCTTCAGAATAACCCTGTAAAGTTGGGGCAGAGATTCAGACCCAGGAGTTCTGACTTTAGAGTCTAAACAGTGAGCGCCGCTCTTGGTCTTCCTAGAGCGTATGTCACTGTTGGGGCACGTTTTCCTAATTAGTGTCCCACCCCGGTCGGTGTTGGAAGCCTGTGGGAGTTGGCAGGGGTAGGTGGAGGAAGGACAGAAGGACAGGTGCAGAGGAACGGCCTGGAGGGCCCTAAACTGGGGGAGGTCTGTCCCCAGTGCTGGCTCTCCTGCCCCTCCACTCCTCTGGAAAGGGTGACTGGAAGAGGAGAAAGGGGCAGTAAGAGGATGCTGAGGAGCCCTGGGCGGCTGAGAGGGGAGCTGGGTGGGAGTGGGCTGGGCGCCTGCGGCGCTGCGGAGGGGGCGCGGGCGGAGCCAGGCGGAGGTGTGTCCCCGAGCCCGGGGGTCGGAGGCGCGAGAGCTCGGGAGCCACAAGAGAAGGCGCGAGGGCGCGAGGGCGAGGGACCGCCGGACCCGGCAGCACCCATGGCGCCCGCCGCCGTCTGGGCCGCGCTAGCGGTCGGACTGCAGCTCTGGGCCGCGGGGAACGCCGAGCCCTCCGAGGTAAGCGCTCTGGATGGGGCCCCAGTTGTCGCTCTCACCACCCCCATCAGACAAGTACCGCGCGCCTCTGGGGACCCGATGGGGACCCTGAACCTGGCACACGTGCGCTTGGGATGCAACTCTGGCCCTCACAGCCCGGTGTTCCAGGCGCATCCCGGGTCCTCCGCAAGCGCAGGTCAGCCATTTGGGGCTGACTAGCGGCCCCCGGCAGATCCCGGCCAGACCCCAAACTCCTCCTTTGCCTCTGCGACTGTTGCGACTGTTGCGACTGCCACGACAGACAGGCTTCTGCGCGGGGTTGCGGTAGGGGAGAAGGGGCTGTACTGGGCGCTGCCCCACTGCCCATGCCGGCGCTCTCTTCGGACTTTCTACTCCCCCGGGCGACGGTTTTCCTCTTTCTTAGAACATCTAGGGTTGCGTGTCTGAAAAGTGGGGCCAGGTGTGTGGAAGCCCTTGGCGGAGACAGCGAGTGGTCTCCCTAACCCCCTGCCCAGGATCCTTACCCTGGCCCTCCATATGTGTCCAGGACCGTTTCAGACTCTGTTCTCTGGGCACAGGGAGGTGAGGGGCCTTCTGGGCTGCTCAGCGAGGAGTTGTGTTCACCAGCGCCAGGATCAAGGCGCTCACGTCCCCATCGCCTTAGCAAGGGCCAGTCTACAAAGGGATTGTGGCCCGTGAGATGGCCACCCCCATATTACAGAGGAGGAAAGCTGAGGCTCAGAGGACTTCTATTTCATGGCAGGGGATAGGGAGATCTTTTCTTCCAAAGGGGGCATCTTCGTCCCTTCTCCACAGGGCTGGAAAGAGGTATGCAGGACGCCCTTCTCAGGAGCCAGCCCTGATGGACACAGGGCATGCCCACAGGTCTGGGCATCTTGACCAGGAGGAAGGTGGGGAGTGATGTGTGACCCGAGGTGGCCTGAGGTGACTCACTGATCTAAGGCTAGAGTCCAGTTCCCGAGGCTGAAAGATGGGGGCTTTTGACCTAGAATTGACTCACCCGCTGTGGGTGTCAGGAGCGGGTTCTGGGGGGCTGTCCTGGAGGAGGTCCTGGGTGGCCTTGGGTCAGGAGAGTCCCAGCTCTGAGAGCTGACTGTGAATGCTGATGACTGTGGCCCCAGCCTGATTGTGTGGGTTGTGCCACAATCTCTGGCCTCAGGGTGTAAGAGGGGGCTTCCTGCCACTGAGCTTGGGCCTGCCAGGGTGAACCTGTGGACGCATGAGCCCCAGGGCAGGCCCAGGGCTTTGCAGGACACCAGGCTGGAGTCCTGAGTTGTTTGAGTTTTCCACCCAAGATTATTGCGGTGGGTGTCCTGACTGGTCCCCTTGCCCCCACGTCCCCCTTGCTGACCCTTCTTTATAGATACTGCTTAAGCTACCGTGGCTGTCAGTGGCCAAGTCAGAACCTCCCCCAGGTCTCGCAGGCCAAGGGAGATATCTTCCTCCCACCTCCCACACATGTACCCCACGGCCCCCCGGAACGGATGGCTCGGTGTCTCTGCCTTTGCCACACTCCCCTCTCCGTGGTACACCCCTTCCCTGTCTCCTTCAGCTCATTTGTTCCAGGAGAGCCTTTTCTCCTCTCTCATTTGGATTGGAGCTTCTCTTTGAACTCTCAGGGCCTTTTGCTCCCTGTGAGGACAGATTACATTCTGCTTTTACTTAGTTGCGTCTTGTCCACTTCAGGGGATGGAAGGTTCCTGGTGGGACTCTGCGTCCTTCCTTGTCACTGTTAGTTAGCTCCACCCTAGCTCCTGTGTTTGGACACCTGCTAAGTATCAGGCTCTGTGCTCGGTGCTTTGCTGCAGAATTGCACTGAGCCTCTCCTCAGAGCAGCTCCTAAAAGGTGTGGTGCTGGCCTCACTTGGAGATGTGGAAACTGAGATTGTGAGGCTCAAGCGTTTCTCAGGATCTCAGAGGTGAGGTGAGAGGATGGGATTCGAATCGGGATCTGCCTGATTCCAAAGGCCTTTTCTCCCTACCCTCCCTGTTCCCGTACCCCACCCTGGCCCTCGCCAGTCCGTCACACCAAGTACACACTCAGGAACGTTGGATACAACTCGACTGAACTGCAGAAAGAGCCCTAAGGTGTCCTGAGCTGGCTGAGGGCATGGCAGACTCACTGCCATCAAGGGATTTTGTCCCCGTTTAGTGTTTTATTTGCCACCTGGTGTGGAATGCATCATTCATTCATTTAGTTTTTCATTTATTTGACAAATAAATGCTGGTGCTGGTAGGTAGGTGCCCCCTGATGGGGATGGGTTAAGCTCCAGCTGTCTGGGGAGGACAGTGAGGGGTTTCTACCTGCTGGGTCTGGCTTACCCACCCCTGGAGGTCTTGCTGTCTAGAGGTTGTTGTTTGCCACCTCATCACCCAGGGGCCAGCTTAGGTTAGGGCAGAGGTTAGAGGTTCCCAGGTTGGCCATTGGAGGGGGTTGGGTGACCTGGGGTACCTGCCAGCTTGGAGGGGGTGGGAGGTCCTTCCTTCCACCATACCTCTGTCCCTTTGCCCTCTGCTGACATCCCAGTGGGGAACCTTTGTGCTGACTGAGAGTATGGCTGGTGGTCAGGACAGCTCCAGAGGTCAGTGAGCCAGTGACCAGGTATGCTGATGCAGTTCTATTCATTCATTCATTCTCTCAGCATTCATAGACATTGACTCTAAGCCTGTCCTGGTGCCTCGCTCAGGGACCCTGAGATGACCACAACCTGGCTCTAGTCCTCCAGCAGCCACACTGCCCCAAGAGGTCCCATACTGGCTGGTGGTCAGGACAGCTCCAGAGGTCAGTGAGCCAGTGACCAGGTATGCTGATGCAGTTCTATTCATTCATTCATTCTCTCAGCATTCATAGACATTGACTCTAAGCCTGTCCTGGTGCCTCGCTCAGGGACCCTGAGATGACCACAACCTGGCTCTAGTCCTCCAGCAGCCACACTGCCCCAAGAGGTACCATATCTAGACCCTGCCCCAACCACCCTGTGACCTGGGCCAAGTTAGTGATGTGGAGTGTATTCCCTGCCTCGCCCTCCTCACAGGATCCAGTGGGTGCTAAAGGCTGAGACCCTGCTTGGTATTCTTATGTTGGAGATTGGCCCCAGGATGACAGTCAGGGGCACAGTGGCTCACTGTAGCACTGTCCTCCCCCAGGACCGGGTGACATTTTGTGGCACTTCCTGGAGGAGTAGCTAGGATAATAGTGTAAGGAGAAGGGGAAGGGGAAGAGTTTTGCCGAAGAGTTTTGCCGCTAGCCATATGCATCGGCTTAGTTCTCACCTTTGCGGCATGCTGGCTTTTCTGTTCCCATACATGCTGCCTATGCTCCTGCTTTCCCACTGATGCTCTCGGTCACTTTCTCATTTCCTTCTGCCTGTGACTGCTTCCCGCCAGGCACGCTCACTCCCCTGACCACTTTGCCTGCGTAACTCTCCTGAGCTGTTGCACATCTTTTACTTGCAATTTGTCTCCCCACGAGAGTGCAGGCATGGCCAAGGCAGGGGCTCATGCGCTACTGAAGGCCAATAGCCCAGAGTAGGAGTCCAGTCTCAGCACTGCGGACCTTTGGGCCACAGGATTCTTTGTGTGGCTTGTCCTGTGTACACTGTAGGATTTTGGCAGCTTCCCGGGCGTTTGCCTGCGAGGTGCCGGTAGCACTCCCTCAGTTGTGATGACCAGAAATATCCACAGATATTGCGAAACGTCCTCTCTGGGGGTGGAGGGATTGCACGGTGCCTGGGATGGTGCCTAGCTTGTAATATGTATTCAAAAGTATTGAGTAAGTGTCAGACAAGATTTATTTGTCCTTTATAATGACCCTGTTTTACAAATGAGGAGATGGAATTTGAAAATCTAGTGGCAACAGAGCTTGGTTCTAGTTTGTCTCCCTTAGGATAGTTCTCCAGGCTCCTCCACCCCCTCATGGGGCTAGGTACCCTTTCCCCAAAGTACTCACACCCCCTTATCCCTTTGACTCGTGATGGGCCCACTCACTGCAGTGACTCAGGGCCCCAGGAGGCATGTGGTTTTCCTGGAAGCAGGCAGGGAAGGAAGTCAGGGGCTGGGGTAGAGAGAGGGATACCTTGGAGTGCCCAGGACTGAAGTGGAGATACTCCGGCTCCCAGTTCTGGACACTCAGCCAGGCACAGGGAAGCAGCGTTGATACTTCGGGGAAAGGCCCAGGCCTCAGAATCAGATCTCGGCCTAGCTCCCTTCTCCCCTGCTGCTCACTGGCTGTGTGACCTTGGCGAGCCTTTTCCTCTTTC